TTTTTTTAAAGTGATACTTACACAATCAATACTTAGTAGGATAACCCTTATTTTTTAAGACAGCTTCACAGCGTCTTTTCATCGAGTGAACGAGTGTTTGGAGTTCATCTTTCGTAATCACATGGTGCCAAGAAACAATTATAGCTTCAATAAGTTGTCTTTTATTGGATGGACGTTTTTTTCGTACAAGAATTTTCAAACCTCACCACAAATTTTCAATTGGATTGAGATCAGGGCTGTTTCCTGGCCATAGTAATATATCTATGCCCTTATTTTGAAACCACGCTTTGCATACTTTTGCTGTGTGGCATGGAGCTGAATCCTGCTGAAAAATAAATGGTGCGTTGTTGGGGAAGGGATCCTTGATGGAAGATATCAATTTTGGTTTCAGGACAGTTTTGATGTATTTTTTGGCATTCAGGATGCCAAATCAGGCCGAAAAAATACGCAAGGGCTACAACCGATAGAAAAATTAAACGGCTATGCCTTCAAGATAAAAAAATTTCATCAGATGCCATTAGATGTGAAATGAATGCTTGTATTGCAGTAAGTTCAAGAACAATAAGAAGAAGGTTATCAGGATTTAGACTACAAGCTAGAATTCCAAGAAAAAAACCATATTTAAATCAAAAGCAACGCGAAAAATGAGTTAAGTGGGCAAAAGAACACATTAAATGGTCAGAAAATCAATGGAAGCAAGTAATCTGGAGCGATGAGAGTAAAATATCGCTCTTTGGTAGTGATGGTAGAAAATATGTGAGACATAGAGTAGGTGAAGCACTTCATCCTGATTGCATTGAAGCAACTACAAAAAACCCAACAAATGTCATGATTTGGGCATGTATATCTGCAGATGGTGTGGGCCGAATTCAAGTGATTGATGGCATCCAATACATCGAAACTGTCCTGAAACCAAAATTGATACCATCCATCAGGTATCTCTTCCCCAACAACGCACCATTTATTTTTCAGCAAGATTCAGTTCCATGCCACACAGCAAAAGTATGCAATGCATGGTTTCAAAATAAAGGAATAGATATATTACCATGGCCAGGAAACAGCCCTGATCTCAATCCAACTGAAAATTTGTGGCGACGTTTGAAAATTCTTGTAGGAAAAAAAACGTCCATCCAATAAAAGACAACTTATTGAAGCTATAATTGATTCTTGGCACCAAATGATTACAAAAGATGAACTCCAAACACTCGTTCACTCGATGTAAAGACGCTGTGATGCTGTCTTAAAAAATAAAGGTTATCCTACTAAGTATTAATTGTGTAAGTATCACTTTAAAAAAATGCAAATCTAAGATAGATCTTACTATTAGTTGCATAACTTTTTTTGTAATACAGATATTGTAATACTGTATTTATTATTAAATTCTACATTAAATTACCTTCAATTTGATATATAAACGTTTGTATTTAAGTGAAAATTAATATATTCTACAAGCACACAAAGTTGAAAAACATGAAACTTTCAAAAAGTGTCCACACTTTTGGCCACCACTGTATATATATATCTATTTCAATATCTATATACTTAACCTATTATAATTGTGCTACTAGATTTTTAACAAAGATGTGTAAACTTGTATGAATTTTTTTCAAATCCATTTTACTCATAAATTTTGAATGCATTTTATTATCTGTTCATAAATGTTTATTATTTTTCATTTAGGTTTCCATTCCAGTTTTTTCACTGGGTCCAGGTCAAGAGATGTGCATTCTTCTTTAAACTTACTGGGAGAAGATGAATCTTAAAATACCCATCTATTTTGCTGTAGGTTTAACTGAAAAAGTAAATGTATTGATATAAAAAAACCTACATTGTTGATTTTAAAATGTAAATAAAAATTCTTCACTCTAATATCCTTTTTTCATATAGACTACCACCTTTTATAGGATGCTCACAAGTTAGACCAACCAAAAAATCAAGAAAATATTTGTGCACCATAATATGTTTGATTTCAAACATATCAAGGTAGTTAATTTAAACTGATAAAATATTTTGTCTTTTTTTTTTTTTTCATTGAAAATATTTTTATTATATCATTGTGAGTATCTAATTTTAGTATTTTTATATTTTATCAAGTGTAGCACTTTGAGTATTAATTTTTTTACAATAATATATGGCGTTTTTTTTATTTAATGTACATATCTCAATACATTAAGTGATTTGCTTTATAATAACTTCTCTTATAATTTCTCATAGTTCCAGTTTTAAAATTTTATTAATAATTCAAAATTTTTTCTCCCTTTATATTTCTCTGCTGGGCTGATTGTATTCGGGTAGTACCGTCCGGGTTTTTTGTATCATTCCTTCAGGTTTAAGAGCAGATCATGTGATTTTTTTTATAGAATTCCATGTATTTAAAGACCATTGATTCTCTGACTCCCCGAATAAAAATAATTCGACAAAATAATCTATATAATCCAACAAAATTTTCACTGCAACCTAAAATTTAAAGTGACCTCTACAATTTTAATTTTGAAACCTTCACTAAATCGTGTTAACAAAACGTTTTCATACATGTGACTCTTCCGCAATTTCTTTTCGTTAGTCGGTCATTTTTAATATTTGAAACTATGCTGGAATCTGCTAATATCACGTCATTTCAATGCAATTGTAATACCTTTCTGTTCCAACGGTTCTGATACCTTTTTTAGAGAGCTGTTTTAAAACTTTTCATTTACTGGATTTTTGAGATAACTTTATTCTTGCTTAAGAATTATGAGCTTTGTTTATTTCTTGAAAAAAATTTTTATCAAGTTTCTTTTTGATGTTAAACAAATCATCTTTTTTTTCTTGATTAGGATGAGACTGGGCTTTCTTCCCCATATTAAATTTTTAGTAATACTTACGACAGTATTATGTCATGTTAATTTTTTCATGTTTTTTCAACTTGAGCATGTCAAATTAACTTCAATCTTGAACTAAGACCTTTATTATTACAGTTAAACCTGTTTATCTCAAACCTCTATATCTCAAAATTTCTAAAATTCCTCCCATTTACTATTTAAAATCAATGTATTTTCCATGTCTATCTCGAAATGTTTTCTTTCAAAACCTCTGTTTCTCAAATTTCTAATAATCAAGCACAAATGCTCAGATACCATAACAAACAAAGAAGGTTAGACATCAAAAATCTTTAAAAAGATTATTCTCAGTGTTAAGGGCATGTCAAAATTTTTTATGTAATTAGATCTATGTAGTATAATTAATTTAAAGAAATGCCTATAAATTTCTACTAAAAACAATTAAAGCATCATATTTCTTAATTAAATTAAATTTTTTTAAGTACCTGTATAACTCAAGACCTTATTATTTCAATTTTTTTGCTTTTCTGGAGAGATTCAAGATATTCCGTCTGTATAAACTTTCAGAAATTGGTTTGAATGTCAAAGAGCTTTGTCAATATTTTCCTACTCAAGAGTGCTTTGAACAAATAGCTTTGTTCAAGCTGCGACATTTGTAGATACTTGTATCATTGAGAATGAAATCAATTCTTGATTAAAAAATGATAATTACTCTAGGGTAAAATTATAAGTACAGCAATAGTTACATTTATAATAAGGCAAGCTTTTAAGTAACTTGAAAAAAAGACGTCAGGTCTTAGGCTGGTAAAAATATCTATTGTTTGTATCGAAATCTATGATAGATAGCTGCCAGGAATCTATGTACATTAACTATTATATTTTAGCTTGAATTGAGGAATTTAAAAAAATCTTTTTAGATTACATTTTTAAACATTTACTTACTTTTTTTGGGGTTAATGATTTGAATTGCATAATTCTTTTTCAGCCCTTTGACTGTGCTTATATAGATAATCCTGGTCCTATGGTTGTTTTTGAAACTCCAGGAATGTTGCACTATATATTATCTGTTCAAATATTCAAAATGCAAATAACATGGTTAGTGCTTTATTTATTAATTTATTTTTGTTTGCAAGTATTAGTAAACATATTCTCAATAGTCATGTATGTCAGAATCATTTTTCTTAATCATTCGAGCTCAAGTATAACTCCTCATACCACGTAACATGTTTTTATTTGTTGTGAAACAAGACCTAACTCTTGGTAAAAATTTTAAATTATTTCAAATTATCATTTTTTGTAGTGCAAGAATTTATATATATATATATATATTTGATTTTGATTAAATAATTAAAAATTGTATTTGAATTAGATAGATAATCTGATTTTTCTTTTAAATAATTCTAAAACAATTAGTGATGAAAAATGAAGTAATGTGTTAAAAGTGAAAGCTGTCACAATTTCCCAAGGGACTTTAATATTAGTTAGAAAAGTTTCTATTTTATGGCAGCAAAAGTAAACATTAAATTGGATTTTGTAACCATACTTTGTAGCTATAGAAATAATGTAACTTGTGATATTACAAAATTAAAAAAGCTTTTCTTCCTGAATTTTGAATTCCATGCCACATATTTCATTTTATGGATATACAGTAAAAGCCTGGCTGCTCAAAATTTAACTAACCAGTTAGATAAAGAAGGTAGAATGTTTAGAAATTCTTAGTTTATACTTTCCGAAAAGGAAAATTTAAAAATACACTGTAAAATATTGATGAATACCTTCAATATCTCTAAATTATAAACAAGTAGTTAGTTCAGAGAGAGCTGCCCTTCAGTTTTTTTTATTTTTGTTTAGTAATTTTTATGGATGACTTTTTTATTTTCTTTCCTTTATCATTATTTTTTATAAGTGTCAATTGCAATAATTTTTATTATTAAAGTGTGGCATTTTCCCAGAAATTAATATGATGTTATATACCGAGATTTTGGTGTTTACTTAATGTGTAACACATGCGTGATACATTACTAAGTTGTGTTATTTAAGATATGTCAGTTGAAATTGTTGAAAATGTGAGTGATTTTGTTTCCATTATTCGTCCGAAATGAATGTTCTGTGTTGAGTAGTATAGGCTAAATTCCAAATATTTGTATTGCAGGAGGCATTCACTCCAATTAATAATACATAAAAATTTAACATGAAATTATACATTATGATGCTGCACTGCTAATTAATAAATAAATAAAAAATAATTATGGGGTGATAGAAAATTTTATAATATGACTTAGCTGTTGAGGATCCTCATCTTTTTTGTCTCTTAGCCTCAGCTCTCCAAAACCTTGTGTGTCCCTGCCTTTTTTCTCACCTCCTCTAACCAAGCCCCCAAAGCCTACTCAACTCTTATTGGCTGTTACTACCATCACAAAATAAGTAGGGCTATACTTGCTGTTTCTTTTATTTTTATTTTTGGCTGAATTATTTAAGGGCAGATGAAAACTTATGAAAGAGAAACTAAAACTTTAAAGTAATTATAGCAGTGCAGCAAAGATAAAAGTAAAAAAACATCATAAAAGCAATACCACATTATAACCTACATTTTCTACGCTACCTATTTCTCCAAATTTTCTGTAAGATTTTATATTTTTGTAATTTTTATATTTAAAGTGATGGCAAATCTAATTCAGCAATAGTGCCCTGCAATATTTCATTATTGAATTC